CTCCGCCCAGGCGAAACAAAGTTGAATGCCCATCCCCCAGCCCTCGAAACCCATCACATCCCGGCCCCCCCGGGAAAAGGGGTACCCGAGCATCGATTCTTTGCTTTCGTCGCGACGAGCGGCCACTGACGACAACGACGAGGCTCCGCATGATTAAAGATGAATCGTGGCTTGCCACAGGGCTGGTCAGCGCTCGCCGTTCCACGCCTCCTCGTCTTGCTTGGCTGGCCTCTACGGAACGTGGTCGCTGGGGTAATCGTAACGTGACCAGAGTAAGAGCATCTGAGGCATAGCAAACCCCCCCCCCCCCCAAACGGACTCTACTGCTCTCAACTAGATGATACGTCGCGCGCTGAACTCCTAACGCACGGCGGTAAATGCTACCGCCGTCGCAGGTTAAGAGGGGGGGGGGGGAGCTCCTGAGCTGCACGGCGCCTATGCCATGCCAGATTAAAACGTGACGGCTCGACGCCACTGATCCTCGCCCACGGTGTCTCAGTCAGGGGACTCCTTTCTTCAATCGACCCCAAAGCACACACACACACACCCTCCCTGCCTTTATCTTGGTCCTCATTCCCACCCCTCCAGATCGAGGCCCGATCGGCCGAAATGCAGGACACGGCGGACGGCCTACATGTGGCGCGGCAGCTCGCTTGGAGAAGTCCAGCGAGCACCCTGATCACAGCTCGGCGACGCGTGAAAGAAAGGAGACGAGACGAGAGGGGCGGCTCTCCGTTCGATCAACCGGTAAACCGAAAGCATCACATCCAGATTAAGAATTGGGAGCTTGGCATGAGATGTCTCAGACGACGCTCCATCTTTCTCGACTCGATTTGGGCTTAGTCCGGGAAGACACGCCTGGATCCTGTCACTCCCAGAGGCTGATTCTTCGAATCGACTTCTGTCATGCCGAATTCGAGTGGTCTGGCCAGCCCCATTGGTCCTGATGTCTGTCTATGTTTTCCTCTGCCTCTCTCTCTCTCTCTGTGTCTCCACACCAAGTCCCACGATGAGCTCTGCTCAAAGACGTGGTCGTGAACGCACAAGATTCCATGCCTGTCTTACTGACCCAAATTATGGAGCCTCGGAAGCCATCGAGATGTTGAGTGACTGACTTCACGAGCACGGCATATTCAAACAGGGATACGGGAAGAGCAGGAGGGGGGCAGATCCGGCGCACACCGGCCAGGTTGACAGTGCCCCTGCTCACGATGTCCCTCAACCCCACCATAGTCGCCGAGTCCGAACCGACCAGGTCCGACGTCAGGGTTATCTGACAGGCCACTCTGGCCCTCGTGAGCCGGAAGGGGCATGGCGGCTCCGCTATCACCCATGAGTCGATCACTCCCACCCGGCACTGTCGACGACTTTCTTCACACGCCCCCCTCCGAAAAGGCACCCCTCCTTGCCCTCTTGGGCCCAAGCAGTGTCTTACCATGCTCAGGTTTTTCCTTCACTGGCCATTTACACCTCTCATACTCTGATCGGATCGCGAACTCCGAAGAAGCAGCCTGCGCGTTTACTACACGTCGTTGTCTTGGCAGTGCTGGCCCCGCGCCCCCCTCAAGAGGGCCATGATTGGGGCAGAGAGTGGGAGAGACCTCTTCGCCATGCTCGTGCAGGCATAGCGTCCGCCGTTCCGGGCTTTGACAGCTCCCAGTAGCGCTGCAAGGATTCGCGCTTTTTCGGCCACTCTGTCGAGGGAGGAGATCAGCTGGACGAGACGGCCACCAGTACCTCATCATAAGCGGTTGGGTGATGGCCAGCCCTGCCAGTCAAGAACGGAGACGAAGCCATGACGGAGCAGGGCAACAGTTCGCCGGGGCTCTTGATCTGGCAAGAACAGAGCCAGGGCCAACTGCTGCTTCGCTTGGCTTTGTCGGGGCGGCGATCGTCCATGCTCTGGCTCGATGCGCGCTTGGCAGGGCCTCGCTCGAAGACGCCCTCGCTTGACGATGCCTTGTCTGTCCTCGTGGCCTTGACGGCGGCTGGCAAGAGGCGTGACTGCGGCGAGGCTCGAGTGGCCTGTCCTGTCTTGGAAGAGTGTCCGGCGTTCTCATACCTTGTCCGAGCGTCTGTTGCTCTTCCGTGGCGAGAGAGGTCTTACCGTTCCATCATACGATAGTCGTCGCAATAACGGTCTGCCACGTCAACGATCAGTTCACCCATGACGCACTCGCACACGTATTGGCCTGCGAAATTTATCGGGGGGGGGAGACCGCGTGCTTGAAACAGAAAACTGTGACGTTCCAGTTTACCAATGATCCTGCCCAAAGACGAGACGTTAAAGTCGGCCCGTCCGTTCTTTCGCTCCCGTCAGACGTGACGGAGCTTCCCTTCATTCGCCGCCGCTGTGATCTTTTTTCTGCTGTCCGTCACTCGAGTCTCCCAGGTGTCTGTGGGTAGAGCACTGAGTAAAGAGGCCAAGGCGCACCGAGTCGAAAGGTAAAGTCCAGAGAACAGACGTCTAATGCCCCCTCGTTTAGCCCCAACCATGCACCCCTGACATCTAGCCAGACCCCAGATCTGAATCGTCCTTCATGATGCCATGATCTGCACGCTCATCGTGGCGGACAGTAACCGCGCGAGACACCAGGCACCAGTTCTTGAGGCTCAAGCCTCGCGTCTCGCCCTCGACTCTCGCAGGTCCAGCGGGAAGACGCCAATGGGCCCCCATCTCTTGCCTTCCACCCCCCCCCCCTCTTCTTCCACCATGACAGCTCAGCTGCCCTCTCTGGGGACGCGTGCCGCGACGATGGTGGG